CCGCACCCGGCTCCTGCCCCGGGCACCTGGCACTTGCCCTGGGCACCCAGCACTTGCCCCGGGCATCCCCTCCACGGCGAGAAAGGCTTTTGCAAGACTTCACTGGGAACTTGCAAAGGTCCCGTGTGGGATCTGTACGCCTGCTCGCTCCAGCTTTCTCCTGTCGGGCTGGTGTCCGAGGACCCATGTAGTGAGACAAAATACCAGAGAGAGAATAGTTTTGTTCCTTTCTTTATCTCAGTGAAGGGAAATGCTAAGATGCAGGGTATCTCATCCCAAACGCCCGGCCCTAACGTGCACTAGAAGCAAGTCAAGCATACTGCAGCACAGCTATTAAACTTAACATCCTTCTCTTTCACTGAAATCAAACACCCCTTCCAAAACAAGAGCTTCGATCCCTGAAGTAAGATCTTTTGGAGCAAGGCTGGAAGCAAGAGAAGCGTTTGCCTGGCCGCAGTAAGTACGATCCATTTCTTTGTTTCATAGCTCACCTGTGGCAGCTTGATCCGCAGGCTGGCTGGCCGTTGCTGAAATAATGCAGAAATCAGAATGATTTTTAATAGCTTGTCCTCCCTACAGTGGACGTGGCCTAAGACAAAGAAAACAAGGATGAAATGTCTGGCTGGGAGCCTTGCAGGAACAAAAACAGCCTTGTAAGCACACTCTGAAGTTTGCCAAACTCCGGCTCTGATGGACAGTGCAGGGGTGTTAGTTTCCGAGGCAGGTGTCCGCTGCTGCAGCGCTCTCCTGCTGCCCTCGGGAAGCCGAGTTCCCGAGTGCTAACAGCTGAAATGCAGCAGGCAGCCCTGCATGGTCTGCTGGAAAAAGGAGAGCGAAGGTGACTGCTAAATGCAACGGTTGCAGACCACACAAAGCTTTAGAAGTTGGCGTGAACACCTTGAATTGCACCCAAGACTCCAACGGTAGCCTCTGCAACACCCAGAAAACGGGTGCTGGGGATGCTTCTGGGACAAGACAGCGTTAATCAGCAGTCAGGTCTTCTGCCTGGAGCTGCTGAGGGATAGCCTGGTCCAAGTGGGTCGGCTGCTCTCCTCCGGGGAGCTTCCTTACAACGTCCAGAGCAGGCTCTAAACACGATTCCCTCTAAACACTACTTCCCACAGCAATGCCAGTACCTGCAGTCACTCGTTGCTTAAACTGTCCTCCTCCTCCTCGTTTGTTTCATAAGTTTACAACTCTGACATTAGCCATCTTTAAATACTCAGTGAAAATGCTTTGCCCAAATGCTTTCTCATGGAGTAAAGGTTTTAGGAACACATTCCTCATAGCGTTGCTGGACAATTTCCACTGACTCCCAGTACTGTCGCTTACAGTATTTGCCGAGTTCCCCATACTCCGAATGAGGAAGCACCACATTGTTGCAGCAACAAATACAACAGCCAAATGCAGATGGTTTTAAAAGTCCCCAGTGTTATGTGTGCAGGATATGCAAAATTTACATGATGGGGAGAGAGGAAGAAAAGACAAGTGCTTGTGTATATTGAGCAATCCGGCATGTTGGGCAATCATTGTGTATGACATTTTTCAGTGATTCTGTTCATTTTTAAGGGGAGAAAAGTCCTATAACACAGGTAAGTTTCTTATGAATGACGAATCTGGAAAAAAAAACTGTAAGTGACTGCAATTATTTTATTCATTCAGTAAGAAGAAGATCATTAAATCCACAGGATTTGAAAGCCATAGCCACAAATACTACACAGTTCATGTACCTATGTTGGAGAAAAACAGATCCCTCATTCCTCTGAGTGTATGTGTGCTTCCTATGAACAGCTAAAATAGCAACAGTTTGACCCACCTTGAAGAAGTACGTGCTCCACTGTGATCCGCTATTGCTAAGAGATGCTCTGCTGAGAATACAGGCGGTTTGCTGGGGGGTGGGTTCGACAAATCTCTGCACAATGTCCACAAGATATTACAGATTACAGCCTGACCTTCTAGACTCTTACTCAGCCTTTACTCATGCAAACCAACTGATAAAGACTACGGACCTACTAGACCCAGAGACCCCAGATCTGCTGATATGAGTAAGACTTACTCACAGCAGCACAGACTTGCAGGTCAAGCCATTTAGCATTTCATACTGAAGAAGAGTAGAGCATATACACCAAGATTATTTTACAGCTTTTTTAAAGTCAGAACAGCCCTGCTCAGAAAGCTCTTCTTAGAATGAAATATTGATTCTAATCTATTATCTGGATAACAAGAACCATAACAAAGCGGTCTCTCGTCTGCATGGGCTTCAGCAAGAGAAGTACTTCCAAACCCCCCAAACAGGGAAGTTGAAGTTACAAGAAAAGTTTCTAAAAAACCCTTTCCTGTTGCAACAAGCCAGGACAAAGAGGGTGAGTGACAGCTGGAAACTTAACCCTCAAGAGCGAGTGAGGGTTTGTTTTCCTTCTCTCAGTGAATGGTTTTCTAATTTGAGGTAGTCTAGCTACAGAAGTCTCTCACTGCTTCACTACAGAGGCTCCTGACTGAAATATTAGAAGAGCCATGTGAAATGGTCATAGTCTGAGGAGTTTTCAAGACAGGATCCACTACCTGCAGAAGCAACGGTATCAAGGGATAAGAAGGGCTCTGGGAAGGCAGAACGTTCATATTTCATACCAGTGTAGGACGTAAAACAAAAGGAGCCAGCAACAGAGCAGGATGCTTTTTCTTAAACAAATTTCAGCCAGGCCATATCAGTGAAAGAAGGGGCTTTTTTCTCCCCACATTTTCTGTTTTCCGGCATCATTCTCTCCTTTGCCCATCAGAGCCACCCCGTCTGTCAGTCTTGCAGAGATCTGCAGATGCCCTGCAGAAGCGAATTTGAGAGTTGTATTGCAGGCATAGTCCTTGCCAGCTGGGACCAGAGGCTTTAGCCCCTCTCTTACTGCACGGGAGATGTTATTAAATTGCTTTTTCTGTCTTGGCGGTGAAATGACCTAATTATCAGATTGCATTAGTCTTCATCTCTTAAAGTGGCCAAATCTGCTTTGGTTCTCAAGGATTTTATTGCCAGCTGAAAATAGCTTAATTGTATTGTACTTGCAAAGAAAACACAGTCTGGTAGAATCAAAGCAGTCGGTTTCCACAAGATGAGAAGAAATGCCATAAATAACACGTTGGGCTTTTTTTCTGGTCTCACCATTTCCATGCATGTAAACTGGCATAAGTTAGCCTTTCTTCTCTAGCCATTAAGTCAACTGGAAAAAATTCATCAGGAAAAGGTGGTTTCCCCATTCACAGTAAACCCCTGGGGTTTAGACATTAACTGGATCTTTATAGGTCTAATGCTGGGATCTCCAAGGAAAAATGAAGCCACATTGGTAGTAGAAGGAATGGGTAAATCGAGTGAAAATTCCACAGAGAGACGGTTACATGTTTGATAAGACTTGAGAGAGCAAATAAATATATTTTGTACTTTGCAAGCAAATAGGATATACAGATGTGCAGCCAGGGACACAGTTATATTGGATAATAACGTGTTTGTTCATTGAAGGGGTGAAATATGGCATAGGAACTTGAATTGTTTTATATATCTGAGAATAGTGGAACTCACACACCATCCACATTGTTTTCTCTATTTCTTTCCCAGATACTTTGTGTCCAAAATCTTTGCTTAAGATCTCAGACTGTCTTATTTAGTCTCATTCTAAAGTCAAATCACCAGCAGGTGACTATATTTAAAAAAAAACCCTTAAGTATATACTTTCAGTCTTTGCTACTGCAGGTGGTGGATGTGGGAAACAAGGTGAAGAAATCTCGAAATAATGAATTACAAACAGTAATCCATAGCTAACAGTAACTGTATATAACTGGCAATCCAACAGCAACCCAAGAAGTTCTGCCAAAGAAAACTTATTTCCAACACTGTATTCCATGTGGCTTGATTCTCAATAAATTTAGATGCCTAATTTAAGGGATCTTTAATTTCCAGCTGAGCTTTCAGACCCAACAAAATATGATAAATACCTGTCAGTAAAAAGTGAGCTCTCTCAGCTCTCAACACATGCTCTCTGCAGGGTCAAAGGCCTTAAAATTATTAGAAAATGTTAATCTGTTATTTAATGTACACCTTGCACATTATTTTCTAGAAGCCCTGCTGTAGCAAGACAGTTGTATTACCATTTAGTGATCTATTTTCACAAATTAGGATTGTGGATAATCTTTCAGAAATGCAATAAACTTAAGGTACATCTAGCATTGTTTCTGACATGGCAATATTCTATATTTTTTCTTGTCTAGCCATCAGTCAGCTGTGACAATTTGTCCTCAAAGGCGGCAATGGGGAACGTATGTTCAGATTAATGAGGATATTAGTACAAGTGATAAAACTGATCAAGCGATTACATATTAATGAGGCTAATATTTTCCTATTAATCTCAAAGTTATCTAATGATCTTCCATAGTTCCCATTCTTTGGATATCTCAAGGGAAAGGGAGTTAATGGTTAATAAAACTTGCCAGAGTGGTGAGAACATGCCCATGGAGCTGACATAGGGAACTTGACAATTCCTGGAAGGAAAAGGGTTAAGAGCCAGCAACTTACACATACAAAACTGTGTGACTACACTTTCATTCTCTTCCTTACAGCTTCAGTTGCTAGTGTTAC